GTAGGGTTGCCAGCTCCCAGTTGGGAAATACCTGGAGATTCTGGGAATGGAGCCTGAGGAAGGGTAGGGTTGGGGGAGGGCAACTTCAATGGGACATAAGGCCTTAGTGTCCACCTTCCAAAGTGGCCATTTTGTCCAGGTGAACTGATCTCTGTCTCCTGGAGATCACTTGTAATAGTGGGGGATCTCCAGCCACCACCTGGAGGTTGGCAACCCTACTACAGGGTCTCAGCACGCAATCAACCATGCTGACGCTTAATGCTAGCCCTGGGTAGGCGTAAAGACCACTTGTTTCCCTACCCTGTGGTAGTCAGCATTTCACACTGTGCCCTCCAACAAAGGACCACCAAACCTTGGCTTAGCTCAGTCACTGGCTATTACCTGCTTTCACCAATGACCCAGCCAGGGCTCTTTTTTTTGGTAGAAAAAGCCCAGCAGGAACTTATTAGCATAATAGGCCATACCCAACAGCAGGAACTCATTAGCATATTAGGCCACACCCATGACAGCACAGCTCATTAGCATATTAGGCCACACCCCCATGTTACCAGAAGTGTGGTCATCCAGCCACACCCACCTTTTGCTTCTTATTCTGTTTACCTTGTTTGCTGTCAAAACCCAGGGGTTTTTTTGGAGCAGGAACTCCTTTGCATGTTAGGCCACCCCCCCTAATGTAGCCAATCCTAATGAGTTCCTGCTGTTGGGCGTGGCCTATTATGCTAATGGCGTTGCCAACTTGGGAGCCAGCCGGAACTCCGTTCCTGTGCGTTCCTGCCCAAAAATAGCCCTGGACCCAGCCCTTCTCCCCCAACTCCTGTACAGGCAAAGCATTCAAGAGAGAGGGTGGGTCAGTCTCTCAGTTCAGGCCAGGATTCGAAGTCACTCAGAAACAGTGAGAACTTCTCTCACTGCTACCAGTTGCCTTCAAAGCTCGGTTCCTTCCTTCATTTCCTACTCATGGCAGAAGTCAGTTTGCCAACATCTGGGTGAGACTTGGAGGTCTCCTAGAATTACAAGTCATCTCCTGGCAACAGATATGAGCTCCTCTGGAGAACACGGCAGGCTGGACTTGCTGGCATCACACCCCTGCTGAGCTCTCTCCTGTCCCCAAACTCCACCCTCCTCAGTCTCCGCCCCCAAATCTCCAGGAACTTCCCAAACCAGAGTTGGCAACCCAACCAGAAGACTTGTTAAAGAAATAGGTCTGTTTCTCCCTTGAAGCATGAAAATACAAGACTCCCTGCCTCTGAATCAGTGGAAGGGCACTCTCAGTTTGTGCTAGGCTATTATTATTATTATTATTATTATTATTATTAAATTAATTTCTATCCCGATCCATTTCCCGCAAGCAGGACTCAGGGCAGCATCCAACATGTCTATACACCAATACATAAAGTAAAATACATAAAATAAATATGCATCAATACATAATAAAATCCAGACAATACAATTAAGCTCCATTACTATTCAGCCATCTGTTCTACTTTTGGATGGCGTCACATATCTATCCCACAGATAGCTGAGGTAGTCCGCATACAATCCATATTCCACCAATGGGGAGGATCTTACTAGAGGTAGGTGGTTTCTAGAAAACTGGTGGCCACCACTGGGCACCTGACAACTGCATTTAGGAGATGGCACACCACTGCCACCCACCCTGCAACTTTCCCTGGGGATTTTATTCTGCAATCTCCACCCTAAATTAATGGCTGGTTCTCACTGACCTGCTGAGCCTGTGTTTGGCTTGTACCAATTTAGACTGCATGGCACTCAGAATCATATGTTCCTACCTATATCCTTAAAAATCACTGCATAGGGGAAATCAGAGTGCCTGAGAAAAGACTAGCTAAAGCTTTTCTCCCCAGTGTGCTAATTTTCTACAAGTGGGGGATTTCTGTTGCATTTAGGAGTTCATTTATAATCTCCAGCTACCACCTGGAGACTGGCAACCCTAGTTACAGTCCATCTCAGTGACAACTAGACTGTGGCTACAGTGCACATATGCTGGGAAGCTGCAGCAGTCACTGCTTCCCACAGAATGTAAACACAGAAAAAGCCCCAGGTGCGAGACTGCCAGACCACATGTGGGTTTTGCATTAATCCTTCTATGTGTTCCTAAGGAAAAGTTTACAAAGTTCACTGGTTACTACCGCCTGCCCTTGTGACCCTACTGGCCATGTACTCATCTCTAAAGGGGGCACAAGGGATGTGGCACATGAAAAGGCATGAAATGCACGTGCCCATGCAGCTATGACAGTGGCACAGACCTCAAGTGCTTCCAGGAACCAGGGACTAGCACACAGTCTGCTGTGGGGACGAGGGGCCTTCATGGGTGCTCTACAATGCTTCTGCAAACAAGTGGCATTTTCTAGATGATGACGGCAGTTTCTGTAGTAAGCAGAACTATCTCTCTTCAAGTTCTAACAAATGCATGCTTTAAATACTTGATTATCCGGCCAAGCTAATCAAATTGCCAACCCTCTCTGAAAGTTCTCGTAAACTTTTATGGAGAAAGAGAGACAGAAAAGAGTAGAAATCCAGGTATGATGGAGACTGGGTCAGTCAAAACCAGTCCCTTTAGTGGGATTCAAACCAAAGGGTTGGAAGCCCCAGAAAAAGGCTTAGCTTGAGAACCAGGGCTGGATTCCACAGATAAAAGAGGGAAGAAAAGGATAGTTCAGAGCTCTCTTACACAACCGCCAACTGGAACAAGGGTTTAACAGCAGCACCCCAAGCGGATGTCCCAGGCTGTTCTCTCAGGATAGGCAACCATGGAACAAGAGCCAGTTTGGTGTAGCGGTTAGGAGCGTGGACTCTAATCTGGAAGAACTGGGTTTGAGTCCTCACTCTTCCACATGCAGCTTCTGGTGTGACCTTGGGTTAGTCACAAGTTATCTCAAGGACAGTTCCGGAAAGAGCTCTCTTAGCCCCACCTACTTCATAGGGTGTCTGTTGTGGGGAGGGGAAGGGAAAAGGAGTTTGTAAACCACTCTGAAACTCCAAGTGAAGGGCGGGATATAAATCCAATCTCTTCTTCTTGATGTAGAAGAAGAAGAAGAAGAGATTGGATTTATACCCCGCCCTTCACTACCCAAAGGAGTCTCAGAGCGGCTTACAAACTCCTTTCCCTTCCCCTCCCCACAACAGACACCCTGTGAGGTGGGTGGAGCTGAGAGAGCTCTGACACAAACTGCTCTTTTTCAAGGACAGCTGTGACAGAGCTTGCGACTGACCCAAGGTCACATCAGCAGGTGCAAGTGGAGGAGTGGGGAATCAAACCCGGTTCTCCCAGATTAGAGTCCGCACACCTAACCACTGCACCAAACTGTACAGTGATGCCTCAGTGATGCCTCAGTCGCTTCCAGCTATCCATTTGCCCCAGCTACCTTCTCTTTCACATGCCTTAGGAGCCATTTCACACATTATGAAATTAAGAATGCAACAGCAGCCCTGCTGGATCAAAACTATTGGATGGCTCATCTAGTCCACCATTCTCTTACCTACAGTGGCCAACCAGATGTTCACAGAAAGTCCACAAGCTGAGCATGGAGGCCAAAGCCTCTCTCCGTTATTGCCCTCAGCAATTCCCCCATTACTGTGCTCCAGCAACTGGCATGCAGAGCTGTCCTGCCTCTAAACAAAGAGGCCCCATATTACAGTGTTCCCTCTAAGATGAGTTAGTGTGAGCTAGCTCCCAGGTTTTTACCCTCTGGCTCACACATTTTTGTCTTAGCTCCAGAGCAAACTAATTTATGCAGTAGCCAAATCACTCGCTCACAACTTTTAATGCCAGTAGCTCACAAAGTAGAATTTTTGCTCACAAGACTCCACAGCTCAGAGGGAGCATTCCCCATGTAGCCAACATAGCTAATATCCATTGATGGGCCTATACTTTAGGGATCTGTCTAGTTTCCCTTTAAAGCCATCTTAGTTAGTGATCACATCTTGTGGCAGTGAATTCCATAAGTTAATTCATTCCTGTATAGAAGATATTGCCAAGTCTGATAATTTTGCATTTTAAAAGAATACGATGTGCATGCATTGTATGTATGATGGGAAGCTGCAGCCAATCACTGCTTCTCACTACATGTAAATATAGGAAAAGATGTAAGTATAAGACTGCCAAGACCACAGGTGGGTTTTGCATTACTCCTTCCACATGCTCCAGAGGAAGCGTTTCCAAGTCCACCAAATATTACTGCCTCTGTGACCTCAGATCTCCTACCCAGCTATACCCTGCCCCCCCCCCCAGACCATCCTCAATCCTTACTTTTGTTTACAGCTCAGCCAGCAGAGGCCAGGTGACTCGGCCCCACTTGGCATTGCCTACCACATGTGATTGCTCAGGGTTCCACAAACAGCTGCTGTAAGCAGCACCGGGATTTCTGTCCGGAGTTGTAAGCAGGGTTTCCCACAGGCTGGTGATGGTGGAGGAGGAAGCAGAATGACTATAGTGTTTGGCTCTCTGAACTTGTGGGGAAATGAACAGCTGGAGACTGCAGTGTGGAAATGGATTTTGGAGTTCATAAGACAGGCATTGTACAGCGTTCAGCTTGCTAAGTTATTGTCTGTCAGTAGCCAAAACCCCCCCCCCCCCCCAATCACAGCTCTAAACTTTCAAGTGCCGCTTTGCGGCTCAGCAACTGAACACCCAAGAGGCAATGATCTGCTCCAGAAAAATGAGCAGCTCAAAAGGAAGAGTCGCCCAGCATCTCTGCCTGTCAACATGTCAAACAGAGAGAGACTCCCATAAAACACCTCAGCGGTCAGCCCAACGAGTCTTCCCTGGCTTCCGAGATGTAAACACATGCACACGCGCGCACACAACACACACACAAACACACTAAACAGCACAGGCTGAAACGCTATCGCTGCCTGGTTCTAACAGTAAGGTGCTTCCCAGGGGAGGGCTGGTGGGGGGGGGGGGAGGCAGGGGAGGGGAAGAAGGTGAAAGTCAGAGAAGAGATTTTGCACGAAGCAGAAGCGGGTTGTATACTCACAGTGGAGTCTGGACCAGACTTGCCCTGCCGTGCTGCCATTGCTCAGCACTCAAGCCGAAACCTGAGCCCAATTTCCTTCTCTCCCCTTCCTGCCTTCGCTATTCCCCACCTTTGGGTGAGCCAGAAAGTGGCATTGCATCCTGTCTAAAAATACAGACTCCCTTCCTCCCGCCAGTGCAGCCTCTGCAGGGTAAGCCAGATGCTAATGGAATATGTTCCTTTTTCCCTCTCCCCATTATTATGTCAGGCAGGGAAATTTAATAGCTGCCTGCCTCCCAGCAACAAGCTGCCGGCTGCCAACCCATGGCGGGATGGGTCATCGCTGCCAGTGCCAGTGCCACACGGGGAATGGCAGGATGGGGAAGCAGCCAGCAACCCTGCCAGGAGCAAACCGGTCCAAGGCACTGGGCTGCACAAGGGGGGGGGAACAGCCCCAGGAGCATCACTCCGCTCACTAATTAACGGCTAAAGTGTAATTGGGGGGGAAGTTCTCCTGCACAAATGCATTGCGATGAATAGGAGCTGCTCCACTGCAATGCCATTCGTTTGTGAGCCAGTTTGGTGTAGTGGTTAAGTGCGCGGACTCTAATCTGGGAGAGCCGGGTTTGATTCCCCACTCCTACACTTGCACCTGGCTGGATGACCTTGGGCAAGCCATAGTTCTGATAAGAGCTGTTCTTGAAAAAGAGCAGTTCCTGTCAAGTGCTCTCTCAGCCCCACCTACCTCACAGGGTGTCTGTTGTGGGGAGGGGAAGGGAAAGGAGTTTGTAAGCCGCTCTGAGACACCTTTGGGATGTGAAGGGCGGGGTATAAATCCAATCTCTCTCTCTCTCTCTTGTGCAGGAGAGGTGCTCAGTGGATTTTGCCTCACTAGTCAGGCGTCTTCCCCCCCCCCACTACGCTGCCCTTGATGGTGCCCCTCGATCCACTGCCTGAAGGTGCAGCTTCACTATGGGGCCAAAGTTTGGGAGGGAATTCGCACCGCCCTTCCCTCACGCCCACTCCCCCCTCTGCTCCTCCCCACTGCGGAAAGAAAGAAAGAAAAGCAAATCTGTGGAAAAGCAGGAGCACCTCTGAAGGTCAGCTAGACTTGAGTCCAGTGGCACTTTGCAGACCACACAAGATTCTGGGGGGGGCAACGAACATGAAGTTGAGCCAACTTCAGAGGACGGCGGAAGACAGGAAGGCCTGGCGTGATCTGGTCCATGGGGTCGCAAAGAGTCGGACTCGACTGTGCAACTGAACAACAACAACAAAGAACACATTAAAGTTTTATTCATTGCGGTGTTTTTCTTTTGCTTCTTTCCCCAGTGTCACCATTTCAAGCACAGATAGGATCTGCTTAATTTTTTTAATAGCCATTGCCCACAGCTGCTGTGTGCCTGCAGGGAACCTGAGCCCAGTCCGGGCAACCTGGACCCAACTCTTAAAAAACCCCAAATGTCTAGTTTGGCCCATAGTTCCTGCAAAGGAAGAGTTCCCTCTGCATCTATTTAAATTAGGTTAAGTGTGAGGGGCAGTGGAATGCCTGAGGTCACTGCTGGGTGCAGTCGCTGAGGAATCTGGTGGTGGCTCTTTCTTGAAGGCCCAGTTCTGACATGACGCGGTTTCAGGTCCTGGGGGGGTGGGGAGAGAACCAGCCTTGCTCTCTGACTCCTGCTTGTCTCAATAGTAGTCTCTTCAGAGATCGAGAATTTTGTGGTTTTGGGGTAATGTTGCTAAACTGGCAACATTAGTTAGGCCCAAAGGCTTCTGTGATAGTTTCCTGGACGTTGACCCCCAGGGAACTGGGCACAGCCAAGAAAATTCCGTAAGGGCACCTAGGGTTGCCAGTTCCGGGTTGGGAAATACCTGGAGATTTTTGGGGGTGGAGCCTGGTGAGGGTGGGGTTTGGGGAGCAGAGGGACCTCAGCAGGATATAATGCTATAGAATCCATCCTCCAAAGCAGTCATTTTCTCCAGGGGAACTGATTTTGGTTGTCTGGAGATCAACTGTAATTGCAGAAGATCTCCAGGTGCCACCTGGAGATTGGCATCCATAAGAAGAGACCATAGAATTCATGCCTCACAGTTGTACAACTTGGGACTGGTCACAGACATGAAGTCAAAGGCTCAGAGACAGTAACATCCTTAATCATGCTAGCAAATACATCAGATGGCAAATGGCCAACATGGACTCTGCAAAAGGAAAGTCCTGCCTAGCCTATTAGAATTTATGGAGGACGTACAAGAATCAAGCAACCAGGGGTTTTCCAAAGGCAAGAATGTCTGGATTCTCAAAGAAGTCAATGAACAGAAAACAGAAGTTCAGAAAACTTAACATCTCTGGGATAGGGGAACAGGCCCTCTTTGCTGGCCTTTGCAGAGAAGTGAAAATGGCATGCCTTGGGGATTGCTACTCATGAGGTGTACGCTCACCTGACTTTGGACTATGGGGGTGGGGCCTGAAAGGGGGGGTTGGGGGAGAGGAGGGACCTCAGCAGGGTACAATGCCATAGAATCCACCTGCCAAGGCAGTCCTTTTCTTCAGGGGAACTGATCTCTGTAGCCTGGAGATCAGCCGTAATTCCAGGAGATCTGGAGGGCACACTTGGGGGCTGGAAAACAGGAAGCATGTAGCATCCACTAAGGAAAGGAAACTTCTCTCCGATTGCTTTCTCTTGTCTACTCCAGCCTCAGTGTTCAGCACTGTGACTGAGGCCCATTCTGCATCTAGCATTCGCTTCACTGTTTTACCAAACCCACGTTGGAACAGACAGTTCCCTCTACATTGCATGCCACTTTCACTTTCTTCGATTGTCGAAATTATGGTAGCCTCCACACTGCATGTCAATTTCACTTCCTTTGATCACTCAGTTTTATGGTACTGTCTGCATAAATTTATGACCGTTTTATGGTCGCTCAGGGGTGACTCTGCAGTCGGTACGGCGTTGGACCGGGCTATTTGAATGTCGTTTTGGGCTGCATCTTTTTCTGTTCCAGTCTGTTACAGTGTGGGTTTGGTAAAACAACGGAGCGAATGCTAGATGCAGAATGGGCCTGAGGGTATTTTTTAGTCATCGCAAAAGCCAAAGACAGGAGTGAATGATCTGTAGGTGACCAAATATTCTAATAACTGTACTCCAAAATAAACTATGAATCACACCAAAAACATTCACTGATGGAAGGATGGGAAAAGACCTAATATTTTCAGGACCCTGGGGTTGATTTAGAAATCCACTGGCTTTGCTCAAACAGGCTTCTCCCCTTCAGGTTAGGAACCGGTTCTGCCAGTCTGCACCAAGAGCCAGCATGGGCTGCACAGTCTTCTTCGCCCGTCACGTCACCCACACCCCACACCATAAATCCTCAAAGCAGTTTCACACTTTTTAAAAAGTTTCCTGAGCCCGTTCGCAGGGAGGGCGGGGTAAAAATGCAAAAAAAATAAAAAATAAAAATAAATCATTATTAATGTGATGCATGACCACGTAAAATACATGTGCCTCTTTTTATTTTTAACAGACTGACCACATACCTGAAGCACGGAGGGAAGGGACCCCACTGATGTTTGAGCCAGCATCTGATTTGTTGGCATGTACATCCATTGTTCAACTCGCAAAGCCAGACTTCACACTGCAGCAGAAGCAATCATTGCAAATTCCCTTGTTTATAATGAATCTGTCTTCGTTGTGAATCTCCTGTTTGCTTCTAAGCTCCCTCTCCTCATTTTTGAATGCTGGCCAATGTGAAGGGTAGCTTTACTTCTAGACCTTGTGAGCAAAATGAATTGGGCTGTTGCAGTACCCAGTGCACAACTTGAGCTACTCATGGTTTAATGTCAAGAAGAAAAAGGAGTCTTCTATGGAACTTTTTTCCAAACTGCCATCTCAGTTCAGACAACAAGTCCACAAGGCTCAGCATACTAAGGATCAGGACCAGATGCTCTCAGAATTTCCCAGGCTTTGCCCCATGACCTGCTAGAGTCCTTTCATACCCTGCCAAGTTCTGCCCTGGCTCCAACCCACTGCTCAACCTCCTGGATTATGGCTGCCAACCTCCAGGTGGTGGCTGGAGGTGGCCCCACTATTACAACTGACCTCCAGGAGATGGAGATCTGTTCACCTGGATAAAATAGCCACTTTGGAAGGTGGACTCTATGGCATTATACCTCATTAAAGTCCCTTCCCTCCCCAAACCCCGCCCTCCTCAGGCTCCACCCCCAGAATCTGCAGGTATTTCCCAACAAACCAAAACTTGATGGCTCCCATGAATAGCTCTTGGGGTGCCTCTCTTTCACAGAGAGAGACTACCTGCAAGCAGTCTATTCCTGTAGGTGGCACGGATCTGTTTCTGCTTGCCCCGACCAACATCTGCCTCTGCAATGCTGCTGCCTCCACCTGTGAAGAACACCGGCTCCAGAGGACCAAATGTGATGCTAGAAGACCTTTCCCACAGTTTTTCAACGGAGATCCCTCATTCAGATCAAGGAGGAGAGGAGAAGGGATTTTAAGGTTTCTGCAATGTCCCTTCCCCCCCAACTGCACCAATTAACACCTCCCTGGCGGGGTATTAAGCCTGGAAAGGGAAAATGGCAGGAATCCTTTCTTGCTGACTAAGAGTTCATACAGGTAACCAGACCATGTCAAGAAAAGCTCTCTTCCTTGCCTGTTCCACCCACACACACACACACACACACACACACACACACACACACACGGTTGCCAACCTCCAGGTGGTGGCTAAGAATCCCCAGAATTACAACTGGTCTCCAAATGACAGGAGCAGTTCCCCTGGAGAAAATGGCTACTTTGGAAGTTGGTCTTTATGGCATTATAGTCCCCTTCCCACACCCACCTTCCCCAGGTTCCACCCTCCAGGAATTTCCCAACCCAGAGCTGGCAACCCCAAGCCTCATCATGTCAGGCAGCAAGTCGAAATTTACTGTATGATAGCTGCAGACACATGTTGCAAAATGTAGGTTGCACTGTTTGGACTCTGGAGCACGAGGAGCACCATCTCACAGCAAAGGCCGGACAAAAATGAGACAACCTCCAGGTGACGTGCAAACAGAGACCTGAGGCTA